CTTGACTCGGTTGCCTTTCATCACCTGTCCGTCTCGGTTGATGCCCAGGTACCAGGAGCGCCCGGATTCCCTCTGCCGGTACAAGGTGGAGGAGTAGGTGACGTAGTAGTTCTCGAAGACGCACTCCTTGAAACGGCACTCGGCGGTGAAGTGAGCCTGCGGAGCGGGGAGGAAAGATGATGCCCTGCAGGAAGATAACAATAACCCCCTTGATCCCCTCCCTTTCATAGGATCCCAGGAGCGGGAACCTACCTTAGCCACTACCAGTTCGGTCGGTGGTCGCCCATGCGCGTGCGTGCGCGCCCCTAGCAAGCCAATCGGCTGAGAGGATGAAGAAATGAAAAGCTAGGCGTGGCCACCCTCCCTCCCTCCCTCCCGTGCACTTTTCGGTCTTTTATCCTCTAAGCCAGTGGTCGCCAACTGGTGGGCCGGGTGACCACTGGTGGCCCACCAGGAAATTTTGGGGGTCCGCCAAGAAATGTCACACCCCCCCCCCCCAGAGCACTCCCTCCAAAGCAATTAATGTGGAGCAGGAAGGATGTTCGTTTCTGTTTATTTTCATGGTCCTGACGTGCACTGAAGATGGTGTTTGATTTCGTTGTGTGAGGTGCAAGGACAATAGAGGAAGCTAACTAACTAATGCAGGCTGTGCGGGAACACAAGGCCGCGCTGCCCACACGAACACAAGGCTTGCGTCACTTGCATTGCGCGCAAAATGAGGGGAGGGGGGAAGGGTGGAAGGGGAAAACTTGCCCCACATGCCCCACGCGCCTGGCATGGCCACTGGGCTGCTTCTTTCCGCTTCTTTCTTCTTCTGCTTTTGGCTGCACGCAAGGGAAGCAGCAAAAGTCTTTCTTTCTCTCCCCCAAACTCCCCCAAGAAATGAGTCTTTGGGACCCTGCACGGCCTCCTGCCCCAAGAAGCTGCACCGACTCGTGTTTATGACAGTCGCAGCATCCTGGAGGGTCGCGCGACTCCCTTTTGCGACCTGCCAACCAGCAAAGTCCACAGAGAAATCCGGAGTCCCTGAACAACCATGGGACTGGCTTTACAGCTGCCATGATTCCCTTTGAACAACGGCGGAGAGAAAGGTCGTACAATGGGACCAAAATACAACAGAACAAATCTCTCGCTTGGCAACGTCAACTGGGGGGCTTCCTTAGGGTCGTAATTCGAGGACTACCTGTATTAAAGGTATACGCAGCCTGTCTTGCTAACCCCCAGTTTTAGTTCGGGGCAGACCCCAAAAAACATATGTAAAAATTCCTTTTTTTTTTTTTAAAGGCCGGGAATTTTTAAAATGGCCACGCCCACGGTGGGATTCCAATCATTGAAAAACCTGTTCAATCATTGTTGTTCAATCATTGAACAACCCCTTCACGATTCTCTTCCAACAACCAGTTCCCCAAACTGCTTGGAAACTTAACAGCCAGTTCTCCCAAACCGGTGCGAACCGGCCGGAATCCCAACCGCTGGGGGCAACGTCGTCTTAAAAAGTCTCTTATTTTCACCACGGTGGAAGAAATTGGAAGGCGGAATTATTTAATTTTTTTTTAAACAAGAGGATTAAAGGCAAAGCCGTGTTCCTGCTCTGCTAATCCCTCTGTAAATTCCTCCATTTTCGTTCATCTTAAAAACAACCCTTTTCCGTAGTGCCTTCCTCTCTCGCCCGGATTTAGGCCAGAGGGAGGGAGGGAGGGGAGCCCGCCATTGCAGGGTGGCGATGTTGGTGTCTGCCTAACCCAGCTGTTCCTCCCAAGAATTCACACACACCCCCCCTTGGTAATCCAGCTGGATTTATTGTTTTACTTTATTTTTATTTATTTTTTGGCCTTCCCAGAAAGGAGGGATGGAAAGAAGCCAAAGATCCATTAATATTAATCAGAGCAAAATGTCCCAGCACAAAACATCCCTTTTTTTCCCCCATCCCCACTTCTTTGCTGCTTTTGGGGTACGGGGTGGGTGGGTGGGGAGAATGCAGGAACTCCCCCCCCACCCCAGAATCAAATTTCTCCCAAGTTCTTTTAATTCTACATTAAAAGGTCCTGGAAATTCACAGAGGGGTAAAAGAAGGACAAGAAATAAAGGGAGTCCTTGGTTTATGGCCGTAATTGAGCCGGGCATTTCCACTCGTCTCCCTGCCTTGAGCACTGGGTTCGACTAGAGGACCTCTGGAATGCCCTACGATTCTACATACAGTTATTCCTGTAAGTTTATGACCTCAACTGAGCCCATAATTTCCGTTTGCTAAGTGAGACAACAGCTAAGGGAGCTTGGCTCGATTTTACAACTGCTCTCGCCACGGTTGTTAAGTGAACTGCTGCTGTTCTTCAGCGAGTCACACCATCGTTAAGCGAATCTGCCAGAAAAATAGCCAAAGGGGATCACGTGACCCCCACCCCCCACCCCCACAGAGAATTGGACATTGGATGAATCTCGACATAACTCTGAGTTATACCTTGAGGATGCCTTGTGATCCAATAAAGAAACTTTGTATGGAAGCCTCGGTAGAGTTTGCCTGTCTTTATATTCACCCAGCAATTTAAAGACAGAACAGTGAAAATGCAGTTATCGCCATCCCATAATGATGGAGCATGATGCTGCTGGGGTCCACCACCCATGTTTCCTGGGCTTCATAGGTGAGGGGAGAAATGTTGGAAGTTTCTTTGACTTTGAACGTCACATAAAGTGGAATTAATTCCACCGGGCGGGCTTTAGATCCGGAGTCCCTCCCGAGGGTGTCACACCCCCCCCCCAAAATCACCCTAAACTTTATTGGAGAATAAAGTGTGTGTGTGGGGGGAGGAGAAACCCAGATATCACCAAAAACTTGGCTAAGGGAGGGAGAGGGGGTGGCAGGGACAAGTAGGGTTCCTGTTCATGACTGTTTTTACACGAGAGAATTGGGTGGGTTTGGCACCCTGGACAGGGGAATCTCCCACCCACCCCTCACCCCGGGGTGGGAGCTTCCTTACAAAGGGGGGCTTGCTAATTACACACACACACACACACACACACATACACACCCCTCTCAAAATGCAAAACCCAGAATTTTTTGCACCGTCTGCTTCGCTTCCCTGCTGCGAATGCTGAGAACTCTTAGGTCACGGACCATGGAGGGATCCTATCTTAGGGTGCGCACGGCCCTAGCGCATGTACACTTTAACAAGCTGATCCGCTGAGAGGACGAAGAAAGGAAGGCCTTTTATCAGCTGATCGGAGGCTTTCTTTCTTTTTTAGAACCGGTCCAAACCAGTAATAAACCACCACGGGTCAGGGGTCCATAACCTCCCCCCAGACCGCTGCCCCGGATCGGGCCCCGATCCATTCGGAACCGGGCTGTCGAAGCAACGAGCCCTTCTCGTTGTTTAGGGTTTAGGGTTTAGGGTTGTTTAGGGTTTAGGGTTGTTTAGGGTTTAG